GCGTTGCCCATAAATGATGGCAGTGACCACGCCCCTATTCACATGAGGACAGCAAATTGCCTAATTTATTTAGAAGGATATAGGGGCTTCTAGAAGAAACTTTCAACTGTACATGGCAGAAATTTAAGGAATAAGATAAAAAAGGTCTAGTTTAATAGTTATATAGAGATGGTATTCAAAACCTAATCTTTACAATTGAAAACTTTTTAGCCAGAGTCTGTCCCAAAAGCAATAGATCACACTTAATTTGCGTAAATATAAAAAAAGACAATTGGGAAAGTTTAATTTCAATAGCTTTTAAACTAAGATTTCTTATTAAATAAAATTTATTATACAAAAACAATTATCAGGTGGATTTATAGGAACTACACTAAAAAAATAAAGTTATACTTTGAATTTCCAATTGAAAATTTCAATTAATATTTTTGTTGATCTTTGTATTTATAAATTAGAATCGACTAGTACATGACATTGATGGTTTTTGTTTTTAATTCTTCATTTCCACAGTAGTTTTTCAAGTGGCCGATGATAAATTCCCCCGCCATTTGCTTTTGCCTAATCTCTGTAATTATTTAAACGTTTAAGGTTTAGTTTCATCCTATTCGTTGGCTGTCCGTTGCGAGCCTTTTCAGTGGCATGACCCAAATGTTTCACTCATTTGCATAAACATCTCCAGCGCACATAGAAACGGGGAAATGGCATCTACCGCAGAATGCAGAAGGCAATTTTGGGAACCGACAGCCGGCCGGGGCCCGAAAGCGATTGTGCCATCAGAAAAATGCTACACAAATCATGCATAATATAAATTAATAGCCATCAACTCTTAAATTTCGGCAGCATTTTAAAATCGGGCCTTCGGGCCCTTGGTGCAGAGCCACCCGCCGTTTCATGGCAAATTAGTAGCTCGTGGGCATTTTAATTGCGTCCAGCAGCGGGTTGGTGGGTCCCGGTGATTTGGGACGAGGGGCGGTTATGTGCGTCAAAAAATAAAATGAATTCATTTGTACCCTTTTCAAAGCCGTATAAAAGAAGGCTAAGACGCGGCACGCGGTCCCCAAATGACTTAACTCATTTAATGTGGCTCTAATGGGATACAATTTAAATTTAATTGATTTGCCCGACAAGCTTTTTATGGCCGCAAGAATTTCTCTAAATTAAAAATGCCTTTTTCCCGTGTGCGTCTGTGTGCGGTGGTTCGTGAAAATGCGGAGCGCTTTAAAGGGCGCCAAGATTAATTCATGTTTTGTGCTCACCATATTGATTAAATATGCGGAGCCACGCTGGTGGCTCAAAGAGTGCCTGACAACAGTTAGCTCGGCTTTTGTGTTTTTTGCAGTGGCCCGCTGATTTATTGGTTTAATGCACCCACCAGCAGCACCCGCATAAACAGAGCGCAACAAACCGCAGCGGGGGCGTTGGGACAACCTTTGCTGCCCGCCGCCATTTCTTAGCCTGGCAGCTAATTTATGTGCGCACGCGGCAAGAAAATGCTGGCGAAAGGATACGCCAGGCGACGGGAGCCAGGAGCCAACGGCGAACAGCCAAAACACGGCAAATAATTTTAATATTTGCTGGTGGTCGATGCGGTGACCTGAATAAGGCAGAACGAGTATTTTTATCCCTTAAAATAAGTCAAATTTAAGGTTCAACACTTGTATTCCTACAAGGATCAGGTTATAGACCTTATTTATATTTGTAATCCCGCTAATTAAATATTTGTCGCATTCAGTCTCAGTTTTATTCTTTAATTTTTTGTTTTATTTTATTAATCATGTATTACAAAAATATATTTTATTTTAATTTAATCTAGAAACTATGATTTTAAAAACATCAGTAAGTAAAATATACAAACATTTTTTGTTAAAAAATATTCTGATATAAAATGCTGTTAAAGAAATCTTCGTGGTTTAGTTTTATTGATAATTCAATATATATGGACTTATTGGTTTTGGTAATTATAAAGAAATATAAGAGAGATTGAATTTATTTTAAAAATAATATATATTTATTTGCTAAAATTTGAATATTCTTATATTTTTCCGTGCAGCTAACAGCGAAAACTTCCCCACATTTCTCATAGTGCGAATTATGTTTTCAGGGGGCGAGGTTGAGGTGGCAAAGTGGGAGGCTCGAATGTCAGCGAGCATAAAAATTCGCATTTTAATATTTGCCAGTAAGCTGCGCTGCGTTGGCAGCTGATTTGCCATAGGTCCTTCCAGCGCGTCTAGAGCTCCATCCCGCTTCCTTCGTCCTTCGACCTTCGTCCTTCGTCCTGCTCCTTCGGCGTGTTTGCCTGCCACTTTATCTGCGCCCAGCAGCTGGCGTTTGTTTGCGGTTCCATCGCGCGTTGCGTGTTGACTTTTGTGTCTGAGCCACCTTTCAACTGCAACTAATTTATTTTATTTGCCAGCTGGCGACCTGGCCGCCCGCCCCCTCCTTTCCCTGGCCACGCCCCTAAATATGATTCAAAACAAGCATTAGAAAATGTATTGCATGGCACGGGGCTGACGGTTCTGCTGCAGTTGATACAAAGTGTTTTGACGTTAAGAGCTTCCAGCTGGGTGTCGAGTGGCGCCACTTTCCACCGATTCCACGATTCGGTGTCATTGCAGTGGACAGGCTGTAAATGAGTTTTGTTATCTGCCTGCCAACAAGCGAACCAATTGCATTAGTTGGGGCCGAACAGGACGGGCCAAGTGAAGGAGTCCGGTGTAGTTAACGCATTGTGCTCCTCCTTTCGCAACGGCTTGGTACAGCAAGTAATGGCTTGAGTCCAGGGAATAAAACCTGAAACAGAACCGTTAATCGGAATTAGGCCATTCCAAATCGAAATCCAGAACAGGTACCGACACCGAAATACAATCTTTTATATCGGTCATCAAACAAATAACATTAAAGTTTCCAAAAATAAGTCACTTATACAACACATATAAAGAATTGATAATCACAAAGTCGAGCTTTATAAAATGTTACTTTGCGAGAACAAACATAGCTTTTTTTCTAATATATAATTAGATATTTTTATAAGTTCTGTGGCTTTATGAGTTCGAGCCGGTTTTAACAACGGAACTAAAAATCAAAAACGAAATCACTGCTTAAATTTTGTATAACTTATATTTTATTTATCTAAGTATCAAATAAAAGTAACAAAAATGTTTATAAATGAACCTAAATAAAAGTTAATTGAACAGTTTAAATATATAAAAAAGGGGATCGAATATTATGAATAAATATTGTTATATGTTTTTATTAATTCCAATATTTATCCTTCTTAATATCCTTAATAATATCACTAAAAATTATGAGATTAAATTATATCTGTATTATATTCTGGCATAGAATATTTAAAATATTGTTGTTTTTTTCGCAAGATCTAAAACAACGAAAGTGATGAAAACATCAAGAAATTGTATTACCGAAAACTAGGACGTTACATGTTTAAATAATTAAAATATTCGTAGGTTCTATACAATGTAAACCCTTGGTGCGAATATATTATATAACCGAGCAATTATAATTATTTGCGGCTGATTAATTTTGACACAGCTAATTTAAATAAAATAGGAAGCAGGAAATTGATTTTTTGATTGAAGCTGTTGTTATGAAACTAAAACAGTTAATAATAATTTATGGTTTCATATCTAAACGAAATGGCACAAGCCTTTAACATATTTTTGATATTGATTGCTCCATTATGATAAGAATAATCTTGTCCAAATTATGGAATGCATTTTGTTTTACTACCATTGAGCATAAATAAGCAAATAACTGCTCAACCCCTTGTGGCCATTATTTAGCGTAATTAAATAGCGAATGAAAAATGAGTAAATTATGGAATGTGAAACGCTCGTAAATTTCCTTCCATGAGGTCGTTGAGTCCGCTGACCAAACTGTTGCTCTGCTCCTTCCTGACCTTTCGACTGTTGATTTTATTAAAATCATTTCGTTTTTTATGGTCATTGGATGGCGGCATATACAACAACGGTGTACTTAATTACAACTGCATTATAATAACGTTACAATTATTGTTATTATTTTTTATCCAAGCACCCAAGCCATTGTCCCGACCACATTTATAAAATGCCCATTATTCATGGCCTGTGCAGAAGCTATTAATGTCCGCTGGCCAAATATCAGGGAAGTGAACACACCATTTCAAAATAAATTAAATTTTTATTCGCGTATGCGAAATATATTAAATGTTTTGTGCATAAGAAACTCCCCTTAATGAGAAGCACAATTAATGCATTCGAGTCGGGGGCTCCATAAAACCGATGCCATAAATTCAGTTTTCTGCGTTGGTAATTAGTGGCCAAGGTTAATGGCAACTGGAAAAACATCCCGTCGACGAGTTCATCAGGAGTGACTGGGGGAAACCATTTCAAAGTTGCGCCGAAACAAAACTTGTTAGCTGATTCCGGGCGGGGTTTTAATTTGGATTAACCAAAAGTTGTTTTAATCCTGCTCAGTGCTTTTATCTAGTATTAAATCCTAATTACAAATTTGGTGTGGAATCAACGGTTTTTTGTTAGTCAAATTGTATTTTGTCAATATTGTTTATTTGAATTCCATTATTTAAGTTAAACAAGAATGAAGACTACATATTTAATATACTACGATTAGGAAGGTTCTTATGTGTTTTGTAGGGTACACGTGTTTTTCAAGTTTTTTAATTGCAATAAAAATGAGAAAATGTAAATTTAGTCGTGCTTCGTAAATTGCAAAATTTCGTTTTACGATTTTTTTGTAAGCTTACGAATCTTTAATTTCTGTCATATTGTTTGAATAAATAACAAATAACTGTATGGCAAAATTTAGTGTTAGTGTTAATATAATTTATTCAATAAATATTATTTTATTTATTGGAAATATGCATAGATGTGAATTATAATTCCCTTTAATGTCTAAATAGTGTTTTGTTTTTCACACTAATTTTCATGGTCTGATAAAATGGCCAAATGGTCAAAATATAGCAATTCAACGTTTATAGTTGCGAGCTTTTAAGAACGATTCATCATCATCATGGACACGCTGTAAATAAGCTTTACGATCTGAAAAATAAATGCAATTATTTTCAATGTGATATTAAGATGTATATACTGTTCCCCACTTGCAGTGCCGTTCTCACAGATAGCGCCATAACGCCAAGTATTTGTATAGTGTGTGGATACTGCGCTTCTCGCAACATCAGTCCAAAAAGCCTTCGCTGGCCCCCATTCAACTCGTACCAGGCCACATTGCAGATGCCATCGTAGACCTGGTCGTACTGTAGGAAAATCATGAGCCGCTTTATAAATAAGTGTTTGAATAAACTTACTCCAAGCTCAAGAATGGTCCCCAAAATGCAATAGATGGACATGCTGTAGGCGGAAACCACAAAGAAAATGGCCGATGGCATGTGAAAACTGGACAAGTTAATGCAGAAACTGAGCATCATGGCCAAAGCCATAGACAGAACTTGAGTTGCGATCAATTCATAATAAAGGCCGTTCACAGTGCGACAGTAGCTAAGAGTTAAGGGTTATTAATATAATTAACAGAGGTTTATAAAAACTTTCGAAATAAATATTGTTTTAATTAACCTTAAGAGTGCCTATATAAAATAATTTTTTTTATAAATATTAAAGATACTAGTTAGGAATTCTAATAATCCAATTAATTTTACTAAGTTCATATTATTTTTGTTTTCAAGCAGAAAAAGGTTAATTTTGTCCCATTTATATACTTTGTAAAAAGTTGATGCCATTTGATCACTTCCAATAGTAGATGCTGGCGCTTTTCCTCTCCATTTATGCGGCCTCCAACTGCCACCAAAGCTCTAATTTCCGCCTTCTGTTCCAAGGCGTTATTGAACTCATTTATCTTTATCTGCAGGATATCGGCAAACGTGAGGATCTGAGTCAAGCCGAGAAAGACGAACAAATCGCCGGCGTAGAAACCAACGCCTGTCACGACGATTGTCACCTGTAATTACCAGTTATTAAACATTTGCTTAAAGAAAGTTTTATATAGTTCTTACCAACTGAATCAGATATGTGACAATGTAGCCAAAGTTATTTTCCAGCGGTAGACCGGGAATCATGTACTGCATTGCGGTGACCCTTGTTCCATCATGAAGTAACATAGCCAGCGGAAGGGCACCCATCATGCAAAAGGCCAACACATATCCGATGCGAATGATCCTCATGATGTGGAGCAGTCGATCTATGTTCGAGTTCAAGGTGCTTCGGTAGGAATCTCCCCGATTCTCGTACTCCTCGTAAATAGTTAGTGTGTATAGGACTAGATGCCTCATCTTCTGGTGTTTCAACAGGCAGGTCAAGAATTTTCCAACTCCATGAATTAGACCACCGATCATCAAGCTGGACTTCAGCCCCTCTTCCCAGTCGCCACCATTATTCAGAATTGAAAATACTGCGAAACCCGCATAGTTTACAATCGCAAACATCGTGGTCCAGGTGCGAAAGTTAAATTCCAATTTGGGCGCCAACACATCAACGCCCAGTAGATTGGTCAAACTGTTGATGTTCTTGGATAATTCGCGGAACCGACTGGCCGGACTGTTCATCATGATGTAACTGATTCGGACGTCCACCAGTCAACCTTTTATAGGAAAGGGTTTGTTTTGACCCGGTCAAATAAATGCAAATGTTCCTGCAATTTTCACAATTAGCAAACAATTGTGTAATTAAGTATTTAATCGTTCCAGCTGCAATTTTTTGTAAACGTCGTTCAACGTCTGTGTTATAAAGTAATTTACTTAGGTAATTTATTGCGTGGGATTTTGAAGTGAAGATAAATTGTATTTCTTAATGTCGATAATCAAGGGCTTTACAAGAAGGTAAATTGTATCTATATTTTTCTTCAAAATTTGGTCTAAATATACGAATTTATATAACTATAATTTCAAATTTAAGAAACTGTAAATCTTTTTCATATTCAATTGAAACAGGAATGTTGCTTTACTTACAATGTCTAATGTAAAACATTTACATATCTCCCTAAATGCAATCGGAAATTCCTAATTCAATAAGGAGCTTAATATTTTAAAGTCTTGATAATCTTCGAGGCACAAGTCACATTGTTTGCATACTTGTACTTATTGCACAATGGGGGAAATTCAAAGTATTTTGCCTAAGACTTCTGCGCCTTGGGTTGGGCAATCGCAGGATTAACACAATAAGGTTCCCTTGCCCTTTGTTGCTCCCTTATCAGTGAAGGGGCCACCTTTCGCATACAACTGTACGCCTTTGTTTCGAAAGTCCTTCGATGGCATTCATCATACGCACTGTTGTCTAATACACTTCAGAGTGCGGAACGTTATTAGTCAGGCCCCTTTGGATGGCCTGGCGGCTATATATGCACTAGTTCATTGTGTGCTTTTTGTTATTAATTTCCAAGCTATAAATTTTGCTTTGCCACATTTCTAAAGGCCAATCCCCAACTAAAACTACTCACTTGTACTTGGACTGGGGAATGGAGAATGGGGAATGGGATTGGATGGGACGGGATGGGACCTCACCTTTTGCACGCTCGAACAGCTTTCGGTTTTTGTCTGCGGTATTTTGTTATTCTGGCCGATCCAGCAGCTCCGCCTTCCATCTGCTGCATCTTTTGTTTATGCTTCACAATGGCCTGCCGCAGGTTTTTACTGCCTCCCATTGTGTCCTGGCCTGTGTGTGTTTGATTTCTATACCCATTACAGGGGTATGCTTGTATCGGATGGTAACGAAGGCAAGGCAACTTTTGTGACCCCAAATATCTTCCTTATCAGAAGCCAGAAGATAAACATTCTACAAAAGCAAAACTAGATACTGCCGATTTGTATTTATAATTCTTTCTGATAGTAGCGATAGAGTCGTCTTTAAGTGTGGAATAAAGGGAGAATAACTACCACGGTATCTCATAGTCGAGACTGATTGCCAAACTCTCCTTATGTTTTCCTTCTGTTTCTTGTATTTTTTTGTCTTCTCCTTGGCTGCCTGCCTGCCTATAAAATGCAATGGAATTTCATATTGTGCGAGTATATATCGGCATCAACATAATGCTCTCGGATAATATTCCCTGGCATTTTTGCGCTGCGGCACGTAAAAAATGCAGGCTGTACACATACACACACACAAGGCACGGCGTTACATGCCTGTGCGTTTGATGTTTAATCAATTGAAAATGCGAGTGTGTGCCATTGATGGGCCACCCCGACCCCGATTTCCCGAAACTTGGCGCCTCAACTTGTCTGCCTCGGACTGCATAATACCCGAGCCCAAGCTGGTGGCCTGGTGGTGTGACCCAAGCCAGGGTCGGATTTGCAACCTGACTTCCGCATCGCCCCGCCGGCTGTTTGCCGAGCTCAAACGGTGAGCTGCAAGCGGCAAACTGCAGTCGGGTCTTAAGACGCGCTCTCTAGAAAAACATTAGCAAGATTGCAAGGTGCGTGTGCGGTGCCACACACTCGCACACCCACACACCCACTTCCACTTCCTTATTGAAAGGGAATTGAACGCTCGACTTGCAGGACGGCTTCCTTTCGCAGATTTCCCCTTTGCTGCTTGCCGCCTGAATGGCACAAAGAGGAATAAAAATTACAATATCGCCGCTGCCGCCGACGATGCAATGGAAATGGAAGGCAAACAACAGGCACAACTACAGCCACACGCACGTACACTGAAAGAATTGAAAGGGTGTCAAGACATGCGAAGGTTAGGTCGGGATTCATTCCTGAACAGGAACATTTTCCCTTCGTTTCAGATTTTCAGATAGAATACCATTAACTAAAAAATATGTTAACAATGGAACATTTAAAAAAAATGATTTCTTATTTGTATAGTTTAATAAGTGTAATAAGCTTATAATACAAGTACTTTTTTTATACTTTCTTAAAAACATTAACATTACATTTTAGTTGGAAAACGTACCAACATACCAATCGGAGGAATTGTAACAGGAATAAGTTTATTTTCCTTTATAAAGTTAAAAACTGTGGGTCCATTTGTATTAAAACTATTAAAGTTTTTTTAAATAATAATATGCTTATGATAAAAGGATGTTAAGATACTTGATTTTTAGTTGGAATTTCCTAAACCACAATTTAGAGCTGCATTGCTGCAATTTAAGGTCTACAAAATATTTTTGTTTGTGCAACTAAAACACTCTAGTGTCAACAAATGGTTGTTGATATCAGGGGCCAGTTTTTTGCGCAGTGCACGTACACACAAAGGAAATCGCAGAGCCTTAAGCTGCCTATGGAGGCATTCATGCGTTTGTGTGAGAGCGTGCGAGTGTGTGGGTGTGTGGATGTGTGCGTGGAAGAGTGTTTCTTGTATTGAAACTTCCTTTAATGGCTTCCGGTTATCATTATTGGCACAAGGCATTGTCCGTCCCTCTCCTGCGGCTGCGTGTCTATAAAGATTAAACTCATTGTTCTTTGTTGATTCCTTTCGTCATGCAAAGAAATTAATATTCGCAATCCATTATCGTTTCTAATAGCCCACACACGAGCATACAAGCATACGAGCGTACACATCCACCCACAATGGCGCACATTTAATAACCCTAATGGGCGGCTTAAAGCCTTAAAGCGAGTGGCGACCTTTGCCCAGTGTGCCACTGGCCTCGATGCATAATCAATCAATCGAAGGCTTTAAGCTGCCGACTAATTTGCAGCAAAAGGACCCGAACCGGGCACTCTCTTTAAGTGTCCTTGCTCCTGGCGCACAGACACACACACATTGATAGATGGGCGGATCCAGTACGTCAGCGTCATTCGCTCCGGCTAATGATGACAAATTTTTTATGGGCATTATGAGCGCCAGTGACTTAAAGCGTGTGGGAATGGCTGAGAGCACTGGCAGAAATCAGGGGAGCTTAATAAATAGAAGATAGATCTGACAATTCTTTAAAAGCCTTTAAAATGAGAGAATTGAAGTCAAACACTGTAGTTCCATTTTCATAAAAATTATCAAATATTTGAAGATAGATCATAGAATCGCCCAAAAGTTATCTTACGTATACATTTTTAAAAAAGTTGTTCATGTTTTATTGAGGTATTTTAGGTATTCAGGTACTTGATGTATACATTTATTTTATTTGTACCAAATCCAACGAAGTAAATCGAAGTTTTTTAATTAGCTTAGATCATGTTTGGTCGTTCTTTAACTAAATGCATAAATTTTTAATTAACATTGTGAATATATTTAAAAACTATAAAAAAATATTGCCAAGTAAAAACTTTTTAAAATGTACTTATTATTTTAGAAGCAATTTAATAGCCTACAATTTATTAGGGCTGGTAACTTCCATGATATTAATATAAGCAAATTTGCAAAAGTCAGGTTGAATTATCAAGGAACAAGTGAATACTGAGAACACTAAATGATTTATTGATGAGCAAATTTGGTGCTATTTTCTCGGTGTGTGGACATAGAACTGATGGGTGTTGGGTGTTGTCTGTTGCCTGTTTCGGTTTCTGCTTTTCCCCCTCCGTTGGCCAACTCCTGGTCAGCCTGGGCTCTTTATTAATTTGACAGCATCAACAGGAGCTGGCTGACTTGGCACGCTAATGATTGAAATGAACTCCGGCACGGTGTCCGGATTTGGGACTCCCTGCTCCGGGAAAAGCCAGAGCAACGCCTACCGTCTAACCGGCAGCAGCTTGATTGATGGTTATCACTCACTGGACGTCGAGAAGGGCCACTACAAGGACGTCAGATTAAATGCTGTAGGTGTGTCATAACTTTTTTCCTTCGCCTGCCATTCCTCCGGCCCATTCCCCATTGTGCCGCATTGCTCCTTTGTTCGGACGACATTTGGGCACTTGTCATCCATCCACCGACACAAACGCCCCACCCAGACGCTAAGTATGCAAAAGAAAGGAGCTCGGAAGGGGAGACCAAGTGGGGGATCCAAAAATATATCTGCCTTGTCACATGCCAATGCAAAAGGAGACAAAAATAAACCGCCATTGGTCATGTTTGAAGGCAAATAAGGCCAATTAACAAATGCAAATACGCAGCATATTTTTGCACTTTTTTGTTGAACGGCAAACAATACAATTTTAAATGAATCGGCAAAACGACATGTGGGGACAGTTCAAATTAATCTGAATTAGTTGTGGGTATTGATAAGATCACGCATACTCATCTTATTAATATTTAAATGAAATGAGTACCATGTGTTTAAGGCAATGCTTATTATTATTTTTAATAGGTTTCCTACTTTTTTTGCTCTTTTAATGATTTGAAGTCATAACAAACCCACTGGCTTTCAAATTATGTTTTAATTGAATGTCAAAGTTCTGATACACGAAATAATAAACATAAATTAAAACCTTGCAGCTATAACAAATATGTATTAGTTGAAACAACAATTATATCATTAAATTCTTATGTTGCTTGCGTAAAAACAATAAAGTTTTCTGGGTTTTTAAATAAATACTATATAATATATCAGTAAAAATCAAACTGTTTTTTTGCTTTCCCTTTAATAAAACCGTATTTCATAAATCTAATATACTCTCCGCTAGATCATACAATTCAATTTAAAATGTAAATGGTAATTTTTAGAAAAGTGCAC